ATATGCCACTTACCTAGGACCTACAATCATCACAGTCAGCTATTGATTGCCATTAACTAAGCAAAGGTATGATGCTAGTAATATTTCATCAACGACGGCTATTGGCGGTCATTTTGATTAGTTGAATGAAAAAGATGTTAATATCACAATCTCAAGTATCTGTGTGGTTGTGGGAGAATTTAAACTGGCCAATTAGCATAGATGCTTATGACATACCATAGTGGATCATACTAAAGTATGTGTCATAAGGTGAGTTACATCGATTTGCCATGCTAATCACTAATACTTTTCATGCTTAATGTACTTGTATATTTATTTTAATTCACATTTCAAATAAGTCTTTATTGGTTTCAGACATTATTGAAAGAGCACATTGATTTGCTACAGAAGACCTCGGGTGCATGTGCTGTGTTGCCAAGGACACTCACAAAAGTGTTGAACTCACAAGCCTGCCATGGTAAGATTTGAATGCCATGTATGTAGTAGACCCACCAATTGTTTCCATGAGTGAAACTGTTTGCAGCCATAAATGCTGTATGTATTCATTGAAAGCCACTTTAATACTAGTATATGATAATAATGGTGTCCAATTCATTTCTCTTTACAAGGGGCAATCAAATTTGGTGATGCTTTGGACCACCATGAGTGCACATCACTGATCAGGTCCTTGTCACATTGTGATTTACCATTCCAGTGTGCCCATGGTAGGCCCTCATTAATGCCCATCATTGACCTGGATATACTCCGCAAACAGTTGGATACTGAGGTAGGTCAGGTAATCTACTCTCCCATATCCAGACACGTACATACAGACTTGCATGGTTGTCAATTCAACAAATCACGAAATATCACGATACTACCTATGAGTATAGTACTTGTAACTGGATCAGGTGATATGGGATTAGTGAGCAATCGACATACACATGAATAACAAGCCATGCATGTCACAGTCCCTGTTAGTTATCAAATTTAAGATATATAGTTTTGTTTATAGTAATATAACTGGAATATAACCATGTGAGGAATATGATTTTTTAACATTAAAATGATTGACATTTGTATCTGATCGTCAAACAAGTACTTGTCCATATTGAGAGATATTGCCCTGCCCATTTAAGAGATATGGCTCTAGAAGCCCAATCATTAAAACAAAATGGCCGCCAGTCAGCCATTTTGAATCCAATCTGAAAAATAAAATAACGTGCATCAGGAACCTGTAATGTCTAAAGTATGTTATAAGTTTGAACAAAACCCATCCATAAATGCAAGAAATGTTTGATATTTGGGGATTTTTTTTATCACAAAATTAGCCACCAGTTAGCTACTTTGAAAAGGATAGTCAAACCAATATATCTGTATATCTATGACATGATGTATAATGAATATTTAAAATTTGAACGTAATCAGTGAAAGCAAGTCAGACATATGGCACGAGAACCACATTCATTAAAACAAAATGATGTGCATCAAGGTCTTATAATGTCTAATGTATATACCAATTTTGAACAAAAACCATCTGTAAACAGCCGAAAAATGCTTGATTTTGATGATTTTTAGCACAAAAATGGCCGCCATTGGACATTATGGGACCTTATACCTTATGCAAACAATTTTATTTTTGCAGATTGGATTCAAAATGGCTGATTTTTTTTAATTAATGCTGTTCAAGAGCAATATCTCCCAATATGGACAAGTACTAGTTTGATGATCAGATACAAATGTCAATCATTTTAATGTTAAACAAAACTATATATCTTAAATTTGATAACTAACGGGGACTGTGCCATGCATGGCTTTTTTTTTTGGTTTGGTAATACCGACAGTTTCCAAATATTTGCAATCATCACGCATTGCAGAAGTAAAATTCATTAATATCAAATTTGCAGTATGATTCGTTGGCATTGATTCCGCTGCAAGTCTTTTTTTACGGTGATAACTTATTCGTAATCTGTTTTCTTTATGGCCATGGAACATCGTAAGTGAATGCGTTTTGATGGAAATGATACACTATGTATGGCTTCTACTGTTTTTCACTTAAAATTAAATCGGTACTTGTCAATAATTTATTTTATCAATTCATTTCAGAAATGTTCCAAACCCAAACTGTGGAAACTTAAGCATTTGATGGATAAAGAAAGCGAGATGGAACAATGAAAGCAGCATTATGCTAATTACATATAATTATATACCAGGTTTTGTTTTTACAGCATCAAACTTCATAGTTTGTAGGAATTTCACTCGCTGCAATAGAAATATATGGAGAACATTTTAGATTGTATGCTGCAATTGTACTGATCAAACTATTTACAATGTATAATAACATTTATATAATAGCATAATAGAGAAACTTCTCAATAAAATACATACATACAATGTGAAATATGAAATAACAGAAATTTATTTCAGTTGTACATTTCTTCATCTACAAATAAACAATATTTATTTGGCATTACACACCTAATTTAGTGTGTACATGTAATATTGGACTCTTTAGTATTAAAAATTGCAATTCTGTGTGTATGTTGTGTGATATATTTTACTGTCTAGACAGTGAGGGGCACTGATGTATAAATTAAATTGCAGTGGCAGTGATTTATTGCTAGCTTCTCAATTTATATAATTTGATCACATGGTGTATATTGTCAAATTCAGAAAATCAATTTTTCGTTAATTTACAGAACAGAATCTCAAAGGCCAACTTTTTGAATTTTAAAAAGTTTTCTCAGTTTTAAGATTTAAAAAATAAAAATGACCTGGATGTTTTTCGTTTAAATAAACAAAACTGTGAATCTAAAATACAAATGTTCTCAGTTTCCACTAAAGAGCGATACAAGCCCAGCTTCTGTGGAATCTTGCTCAAGAACTGGACGAAGTCTTCTCTTCGTTGACTTGAATAATGGCGGCAGATCCCGAATGTGGACGTGTCTCTTGAATTGCTCACCCAAAGCTTGCTGAAAAATGAAATAAAAATTTGAAGTTAGAATGCTACTCAGCAGAATACTTACAAATTTTATGATAGCCGTATGTGATAATATATACAAGTCAAAAACATACTAGTAACATTGTATATTCAGTTATGATAGCTAGGGCACATCTCATATATGGAGAGTTAATTCAGATTCCTCCCCACAATTTATACATTTTGCAATAAAATGATATTGGGAGTCACCAGTCTAATTGAAAATGATGGTTATATTTTAGTGGATTGTGGCTATTTTGTTAAGTATTGTAACACGTTAACCATATGGCAGAGATATTATGCCAATGACATAGACTGAAAAAATCTTATGTTAATGATGGGGTACTTATTGTTCTAAGTTATTTCAAAAATATGGGTTTTAAAAAGTGCCAAAAAATGCAATTTTTCATTAACATTGTGTTCAATGGAATTGTTCTAAAGCGTATTTTTGAAAAATATTACCGGGGGATAGGACAAATTTCTCAAAATATGTCAGTTATTTCATGGTGCCATGGGAGAATACATGTAGCTCCATGATTTTACACAATAAACCAATGAACATTGCCATGCGATTTATGACAGATTTTCTCTAAAATTATCAGTGGGCTTCTACCTTAAGAATGACTCACCCCTATAACTCCAGAGATCAGTTTCTTGAAAGCGTCTTTTTTTCGTTTTTCCGATACTGGTTTATTGGCTGCATTCATCAGAATGAATCTGTCGTCAAATTTCTTAACATTGTCGTAACTACAGTCTGGGATTTGCAGCAGGACTGAGGCAATCTCTTCGTACATGGGTCTCTATGAGAAAAACACACAAACAAATTGACATAGCTGTATTTCCATCTAAGTGGACTGACTTTAATGGAGAATTCAAGCGAATACACAAGTGAGCAAGCCATCCTGAACTGCGTTTGGTTTACCAGTGATGATTCATGTTCTTTTTGCCCAATCATCGCCGTTGGGGAGGGTTCAGCGTACTTCTTAATGACAATTATACAACACTCGAACCCAATGTATTGCAGTAATAACACACATAGAATATATAAATAATGTGTGGTAAATTAAAAATAATCTATTGTTAGATGCAACTATTTGTACGTAATATAACAATTGAATATTCATCCGTTGACAAAGATGGGAATAAAACGTGTTAAAACGTGCTTTGGTCGTAGAAGTTCACCATCTTACCATTGCGCAGTATGCTTCAAATGCAAGGCCAACCAGTGCCGCCTGACACGCGTCATGCTGGCCGTGAACTTGTAACCCACACAATACCATGACAAACAGCTGAGTGGATGCGTCTGCAGGTAGCGGTTTGGACACCACCTAACGAGAAACCAACCAAAGATATTATTATTGGCTTTGTTACTTTCCTTTCACCATTGCATTACTTTCCCCAATGGGTGTGTACATACTGATGCGAGTCACTCAGAAATGCATACATTTGTAGGTATGCTTCGTTTTCAACACCTATTAAACTAAAACGACTGCAACATTGATCGTATCATTACATGGCATGGAACCCAACAGATCAAAGTCTGCCCCATATAAACTGAAATATATTAATTATAACTGTCCCTCACCAGTTGTAAAACTAATTTGCATATGTTGACAGCTTTCATGCAGGTTGTTGTATCGGCCCATGCTAGCGGTGAAAAAGTGGACATCAACAGTATCTCACATAGGGACTGTAGAAAAAGTATATTTCCATTAGCAAAATTACACATTAAACTAAATTATAATTGTTTTACATCATAAATTCGGCGTATAGCTTTAGCCCTTCAGTATTACCCAAAGACTAGTATTTGTTCTAAGACCATGAGTAACACAAGATACAAAATACATATAAACAACCATTGTTACCTGATCTTCCAACAGACATTTGCCCAGTTCACTCACAGTGGCCTTGTCATCACCGACTGTTGCTATGGTGTCCATTTCATCCTCCCCTCCCATATCCATGGTGACACTACTCTCAGCTGTCTTGCCAGCTCTAAATAATAAAGCTGTAAGAAAGGAATCTAATAATTGACTGAATAGCAAGAATATATATAGTCCAATGCTACTCGTATTGTCTTACAGAAATAAAGAACTGTTTCTGGACTTAAACCACACTTGTAATATCACACTATTAGTAGTGTTTATTTCACAGAAGTGCCACCACTGCAGTGGCTTTGGCAGAACCTCCCTGAAATGGCCATTCAGGGGTGTTCTGGTAATGATGTGCACTATCAATGTTCCATGATGAAAGTGAGTGCTATTTCTTCTTTCTTTTTAAAATGACTTCGGGTCAAATCACAATTTCAAATCGGGTAAGTCCAAGAGTTATTTCTCTACTGATTGAGCTAAGCAGGTGATCATACATGCATGTATCACATGTACCATCCAGTTAGTTGCATATCATACCAGACATATCTATTAATTCAAACAAAGGAAACAAAGTGATAGGTTCGTGTAGAACCTTGCTCAAATCACCATTGTCTGTTTTGATACTGTGGGGATACCATTGGACAGTGGGCGTGTGGTTCAAGTCAGATAACATTAGCTTTCTGTGTATCTGAATTGGAATCTCATTGGGCATTGCGCTTAGTGATTCTAAGTCATCCACTTGTTGGACTATACATTACATAAAACACCAGCAGGGCATTTCTGTAATTTCACGATTTACTGCCATGAAATATGTGCAACTGATTCAACAAATTAATGTATATGCCTCTCATGCAGTTTATAGTGAGTATACTTTGGTAAATGAAAAAAAAAACTAAATAATTGGATATATTTCTAAGACCAAAACACAATTCCAAATTATAGTGCATTGTGGGATAATTTTGACAGAATCGAACCAACTCCACCCATCTCATGCCTAGTCGTTCAACCTAACAACTATCCCAGAATGCACTATAATTGCGATATGGTCTATTTCTCATTGATAACACAATTCGTATTTGTTTACTTAGTAAATCTATATAATCCCTTGTGAGCAATCTTGTCATCTGATCTTCCAAAACTTCCTGGGATTCCTGGTCATCATCATTGTCTTTTTCTGTGCTGATGTGGAAATACACAAATATTGTGAATATTGCATACATTTAGGGTACAGAGGTATGGTAGTTCAAAAATTTTCTGACTTGACTAGAATATAATGGGCAGGGAAGTAAATTTCATTCATGGGTCTTTCTTTCACATATTCAATATATACAATATAGTCGCCACATACTCGCGGCAAGGCACAATAACTAACCAGTATCTGCATACCATACTGTTGGTATTTGGCCGAGTACTACAGCGGCAGATGAGCGAGTACATACATGTAAAAATCTAGTGTGCTGATGTTATAACTTTATCTTACAATACTAATACCACACACCAGTACAAATGTGCAAGACAGCTTAAATTTCTATTATTTCCAGTATCTTACCTTGTTTCACTTCTCTTACGTATAACCTCCCATTTTGCGCTGAGTTTAGTGATTAAAAACGAACACAGTTGATACAGTATTGGTACAAGCACTGTGGAGTGACACTCACTAGGACAGTACTGCGTGAATGATTTCATAAAGACACGTGAAATCAAACAAGTTAAGGAAAAATGCATGGTAATAGACTTAAGTGTATTTCAAATGTTTTAAATTTATGTTTTTGTTTTTTTTTAAATAACACAAACTATCGGTGATATTAACAAGTCCAGTACTTTTCGCTATCAACATACAGGCCTGGAATACAGTAGTATTGTGATGCAGTAAATTAAGAAATCACGTCTGGTGGAAGGGGGTCCCATAATTAGTGACATGTACATGTTAGTGGAGCATGTTCACTTTTCTTTGCTATCACTGTAATGTACAGAAAAATATTGCTGAGATTACAAACTTAAGATTCTCAATAATTTTGTATTTCGTAATGAGGTATTCCATGTCATGTTACTGTTATACCAGGACGACTGTGAAATAAGACTGATCTGAAACGAACATAAAGGATATGGATGATTGGCCTGAGTCTGTGATCTGGTATGTGTTCCATGTTAACAAATATTGAATTCAGGATGACCTGAGTCAGCTTAGGTACTGTGTAGTACTCGTAACCGAGGCACAGTCCAGCATTCGCCAGAATATGGTAGCTGTAAATAACAACAAGGATATAGTAAATTTCTGCAGAGAATGTGACAAATTCTGTAAGTACGGTACAACTGTATACATATTCCAAACTTTTCAATTTTTCAGTGGTTTATTTTTTTTATGCGGATTCCCTCTTGTTTAGCTCCAAAGCGTTGGACATAAAACTATTTACATGCTGATTATTATCTTAGAGCTTATCACAGCAGAACCTGAAATATCTGACAGTATTTGAGAAAAGTCACAAAGAAAAGAAGTGAAATGCTAAGAGGATACAAAGACATGATAGCATTGATTTGAAAAATACTTCATTATCATAAGTGTTGTCATGGATTTAGTTATGCTGTGTGGCAAACACAGATTTGCAGCACAGTTTGCCATTTCTTTGAAAACTTGGTGGAAAATCATAAGAGAAATCAAAACTGATTCTCTCAATTTTTAAACAAAGAATATAATCATTTTGTCTGTTAGTGATTATATTATAATCTTTAGTTAATACAGATATTCAATTAGAAACTCTGAAATCTTCAATTAGATAATTCTGTCTGCACATCCATTATGGTAGAGTGGAATGGCTGGATGAATGTGAATACAGAGTTACAAACTAAATAAATGTATCAGGGTAAGTAAGCATTTTCTACCTCGTCAAATTGGCCTTTTTTTCCCAATTAATTAACTTCAATCAAGTGAAGTACATATCATGTAGAAGACAACTATAGGCTACATGGACAACATTTAAACACATCACAGTCAATTTCTGACCACACTAAGAGAAACCATATTTTGACACTAGAATAACGAATATCTTGATAAAAAGTGATCATATCAACACAACAGGTGTATGTACAGCAAATTTAAATCACACATACCAGTTATCATGATTAATGGCTATAAAATTATGCATTCGTTCCACTGGTGATTTATTGACAGGAACTTCAGCAGCGGTTTCCCCAGAGAGATAAGCTGTATTGATACCTGGAGAGAAACAATACAGAGAAGTTTGCATGGTAATTTGCTGTGAGATCACTGAAGAAATGGAAATATTTGCATATAGCTATTTTTTCAAAATAGAGTTAAAGCTATGACGTCTAGGACAGAAGCAATTTTTACACACATTCATTGGCGTTTTTAGTTACGGTAGCAATTACTGAGGGAGCAACAACAATGAGTACAGGTACAGACATTTCCCTCTTGTATACCCCTTTCCTCTCACTCAGTAATTAAAGCAATGCATGCAACTAGGCAACTTTCTCACCTAAAGCCGCTAATTTCTCATGTTCTTGCATATCATAAACTTTGCTGTATTCAGGAGATAGTTTAGCCCTCATCTCAGGTAACCACAGATGATTGAATGTCCTGGAGAAAAAAACAAAAAAAAAACAGTATCCCAATCACATACACACATGTCTGCAAAGTATGAGCCTCTGTACTCTGGGGGGAACCTAATCTCAAAACCAAATCTCCAAAAAATGCCTGGCGCCACATCCAAGTAATTAATTCCATGATGGCAGCATGTGGGGAACCCTGCATGTGGCACATTTCGTGATGCAATTGATCTTGAATATGTGGTAAATTACGATCAATATCAAGTAAAGATCAATATCAAAATTTGGGTTGTAATGCTCTGCTGAGATTAGATGCTGGTAAGACACACTACACATTAACACCCCCACCCGCCCATACAGCAATGAATCAAAAAAACTGACCTGATCAGTGAGAAGACGTTATCAAGTAGAACAGATGCAGCACTCATGCATGGATTCTTCAATACAGGAACATCATTCTTAAGTTGACCACTCACAAAACCACCAACTCTGGCTTCCTATGAATGAAAGAGAATAATGAGAATAACAGCTACATCATATTCAAAAGTTTTTATCTGATTTTTCCTTCCATGTAATATATGAACATTGAATCACATTACATATAATAAAGCTCTTGATCAGACAAATATTACTTCCTGAGTCATTTCATCATGTGAATACATACATGTATAGCCATGGTCACGGTCATGATCAAAATGAGTACAGCGTTCTTTTCATACAATACACAAATCCCATCACATTCATGCAGAATTAATTTTCAAAAAATGAACTTTCCTACTGATTTATGAGTTAGGTAAGAATAATACGAAATCATCTCGCAATTTGAGGAAAACATCCTCCTTCTGTACTGCAGGTGGCATTCAATCATTGTTAGGCTTGATTACAAGCCCTCACCATCACTTACGTGGACACATACATTTTGTATAGGTGACAAATCAGAAAAATCATATGATTTGAGTGTTAATACTTTACCTCAAGATCACTGGGCCATCTGCTTCTCTTCAACATTGCTAGAATAGTGTTGATGCAGTACACGATATTGGATCTATTCACACCGACAACGTCTTCAGTGCTTGGTGCAACCGGCTGAGTGTCTAGTCCAATGTGGTGAATGAAATTAATGGCTGAGGAAAATGCCCTAAAAAAAGTACAGATTTGAATATAATGAATAATTGCATGCCTTTATTTGTGTAAAGTTTACACATTTCCTGGTGCTCATCTTAGTACATTAGGAATATACATACGAAACATAGAGCACTACTAACTTGTTGCGTGCCCTCAGTGGTGAACAATGATATTCATTTGTTTTTACATACTGCCTACTTATCTATGGTACATGTATTTAATACTAAATATAACACACTTGCGACCATACCCAACTTACATTTTCATTGTATCTGAAAGCCATATCTGTTGAATCGGCAGAGCTATTTCATCAATAAAAGCCTTTTGTTGTTCAAAGTTCTTGACTTCATTACTGAGCAGTATAAGGGCTTCTAGCAGCGTGATTTTCTCAAGCTGCGTAAGCTCTTCCAAGTCTGTACTCAAGTTCTTTACCTTATCGTAGATTTCATCAAAAAAAGGCTGAAGGGAAAAAAAAAATTTTAAATTTTCAGTTAATTATAACTGAGCAACATAAATTGATGAAACTTGAATGCAAAATTTGTTTTTCTTTGTTATCTTGATAGTTGAGTTTAAACAGTCACAAAATCTGAATCTCATTCATTTGGTATGAACAAAATGCAACTGAATGTCAGATCTTTCTAACTGACATGACAGAAATCAATAAAAAGTAACTTTCCATATCTCTAACTTTACGCAAATCTTTATATCGTAACTGCTCTAATGTGTTCATTTCATAAGAGACAAATTTCACAAGTCAAAGAAACCATAAAGCATTGTAGCAGTAAAA